TATATATATATATATATATATATATATATATATATATATATATATATATATATTTATATATATAGCATTAGTACATTTTTTTGACATTCATATAAAATTCCTAATAATTGAATGTAACCATTCCTACGGACCATTGCTTATTCTATTTTACATCTGGTAAGAGTCGAAAATAGTTGGAAAAGGTAATTATTATAATGGATTTTTGTGACGCCCAATGTTTTGGTATGGGTTTTTTTTTTTGTTTGTTTTTTTTTAAATTTATTATTTATGAAGGAGTTTAACGAAATAAATAGTTGAAATAAAAATTTAAAAGCAACATTATTATTTAGTAGCAACTTAAAATTGATATCTTAATGTAATGCCTAAATTCTGTTGCTCACCGATTGTTTGCAGAATGATGCAAAACTAAATAAACTGGAACCTCTCATAACGAGTTTAATTCGTTCCAGACTCTTACTCGTTAAGCAAAACACTCGTTAAACGAACAAATGTTCCCATACAAATCAATGTAAAATACGAAAATGCGTTCCATGCTGAAAAAAATAATAATTTTTCAAAAAATTTTATTAACATTTATTCAAATAAAATTACTTATGAATTGTTAAGGAGTGTAACAATTTGGAATACAATTTAGATTTGAAACAAAAAGCGTAAATAAAAATATGAATTTATGACAAATAATTAATGCTTTTTAACTAGAAAACTGTCTAAAGACATTTGTTTTTGCCAACGCTTCAAAATTTGACGAATATGTGTCACAGCATTATCATTGAATAAATGTGTAGCACCAATAGACACCTCCTTATTAGGGTGGTGTTTCTCAATGTACGATGCAACCGTTTCCCATGCTTTCAGCATTTCTTTTATTGCGCTAGAAGATTGTTACTCTGCTACTTCCTCCTCCATTAATGAGCTGTGAAACACGATGCAACACCATAAACTCTTCGGTGGTTAACTCTTGACTGTGCTCTTCCACAAGCTCTTCAATATCGTTGATGTCCACCTCAAGTCCCATGACATTGGCCAATGACAAAATCTCGTTAACTGTAGACTCCACAGGTACTGTTTCACAATCACATTCAACAACACTCTCTGGCCAAAGTTTTTTCCAAGCAGAAGTGAGGGAAAAGGGGACTTCCCCTTTCTGCGTAACTCGTTATGCGAAATGTCGCTCGTTAAGGGAGCAACTTCTTCACATTTTTTTTTTGCTCGTTATGCGAAATACTCGTTATGAGTGGTGCTCGTTATGAGTGGTGCTCGTTATGAGTGGTGCTCGTTATGAGTGGTGCTCGTTGTGTAAAAATTCACCCATGGATTTGAATTTTTTTTAAAATTCAAAATTATTTTATTGGGAAGAACTCAATGAGCCCCATCTCAGCATCTCCCCCCCCCCCCCCCCCCCCCCCCCNGCCCTTTACCAAACTTTTGCTGGGGAGCAATAGACGCCCTTTATTTCTGCTTTCCCCTTATCCACATCTGTCAAAGTGACACTTCGGTGTGAAACTAAGATGGTACCAAAAAGTACCCTGGGGCGTACCACAACTGGAATTAATTCAGGTTATGTATGGCACTGGGTGCCACAATGCTTAATTTGACCCCCCTCCCCCCGCGCAACACCTGAAATATTCCCTCACTGGATTAAGAGTGAGTTCAGGTATACTCCAAAATGTAGGCCTACTCCTCTGTTAAGCCCGCCCCAGAGGGATAGCTTAGGACATGTAAAAAAAATAAAATTATAATTGCGGAAAGCAGCAAAAATTGTGGTTTTTGTTACACCCTTCCTTTAAGAGATGCTATGTTTCACTATAAGTTTAATTAAAGGGTAGGGGAGAGAAAAATGGCTCCTAAATTGAATGATTTTATATTATATTAATCGAGAGAATGGCGTTACGCCTGACCCTGGTCAGCATTATGCCTAATTTATGGGTTCATAGATGCACTGCCCACAGGCTTAGCTAGTGTTAGTGCTGCACTAGGCAGGACACGATTTTTTCCACGATAAAGCTCTGCAGTGAACCGAATATGCTGTCCCTCCATAAAAAAATCGGGACCCCCTTCCGATGCCACTGCCCACATCTGAATTGCTCCCCCTCCCGAACATATTGAAAGAAACACTACACGCGAGTACAAGTAGAATGACCATTCTGTCGCCTCAATATCAAGTTGAATTATTTTAAAAAAATTTAAATTATATATTTTTAAAAAATAATAATAAATTTTTGAATTTGGAAAAAAATTAGAACCAAGGAGATAATTACATGATTTTCTATAGCGCTCAGTGTACACGTGGAGATGCTAAGTCAGATTCGAGCATGAGTTTGCAAAGTGTTGGAATTCCATTGGATGATATAGGTTACTTCTTGTCTTTCAACTCCATGTGAAGCAAAGGCCAACAATCTTTCCACGCCTTCAGGTATTTAGCTTTTTTTTTCTTCATTTTAATGACATCCCTGTCTATCTCTCTAAGCAATGTGTTTTTCGGTCTTCCCTGTCCTCTTGACCTCTACGTGTTCTATCCCAGTGCTTGCCTGGTTACGTATTGCAAACATGCTTGTTTGCATCGCTCTGGTGGTGTCAGAATGTTACGGTGTTAACCTGCAAGGTTACATATGCTCTGGTGGCAACCTGTTTAGGTGTCACTCCAATCTGCAAGAAAGAGGAGCATTTACGACCCTGCCAACTACCGTCCGGTATCCCTCACCAGCGTGGTCTGCAAACTGTTGGAGCACATAATCGTAAGCGCGGTCATGACGAATCTTGAAAGACAAAATATACACAGTGACTGTCAGCATGGCTTCCGAGTCAATAGATCATGTGAGACCCAGGTACTCGAACTTGAAGAAGATGTGACAACCAAACTGGAGCACAGCAAGCAAACTGACGTGCTGGTGATGGACTTCTCAAAGGCATTTGACCGTGTCAATCATAGCTTGCCATTACACAAACTTCAGAGATATGGGATCCAAGGCACTACCAAAACATGGATCTTTAGCCTCCTCAGCCAGGCAGTAGTGGTGGACGGCACAAGCTCCTCCTTTGTCGGTGTTAGGTCAGGGGTTCCCCAGGGCTCGGTGCTAGGCCCCTGTTTGTTCCTTATAGCACACATCAATGGCCTGCTCGAGAAGCTGACATCCCAAGCAAGACTGTTCGCAGACGACACGGCGGTGTATAGGACGATCGCCAATAGTTCTGACCAGGACCAACTTCAAGAGGACCTCCAGCTGTTAGCTGAGAGGGAGATAAGCTGGGACATGGAATTTCATCCTGCCAAGTGCCAGACCCTGTCAGTCTCCAGAAGTAGTACCCCTCTACACCACCCTTACGAACTGCATGGCCATATTCTTGAGTCAGTTTCCTCCAAGGTACCTTGGTGTTACCATTCAAAGAGAGGCCCTCTGGAACGAGCATATTAACAATGTGTGTAACCAGGCAAACAATACCTTAGAGTTCCTCAGGCGAAATCTAAGGATCGGCAACTCCAGTGTAAAAGAAAAAGCCTATAAATTCAAGCCTTTGTCCGACCGCTTTTAGATTACGTACCCTCAGTCTGAGATCCATTCACCTTGAAGAGGATCGACAGGTTGGAGGTGGTCCAGCGGCGGGCAGCATGCTTTGTCCTGAACCGCTACAGGCATACCTCTAGTGTTGGCAGCATGCATGGAAACACTATATAGGCTGGTCACCATTGGAGGAACGACGACGATTATCCAGGCTCCCAATGATGTTCAAGATAAAAATGGGCTGGTCCACTGCTCCAGCATTAAACAGAAACTCGCCACTCTCCCCCTATAATGCGTCGAGGCCATGACAGACAGTTCCGTCTAATAACAGCTACAGCACAGTACATGAACTGCTCATTCCTGCCAAAGACAAACAGGGACTGGACAAAACTTCCAAAATAACAGCTGAGGAGACAAAACTTGACACATTTGCGTCTATTACTTCCTGCCTTCCAACCCCCAGTTCCTGATACCCTCGTTGAGTTGCAATTACAACCAGTGAAATATCCTCTTCTTCTTGGACCATTTAAGATATAAAAGAAGAAGGACAAATAACAACAAAAACATAGACTCTAGTGTGTACTGACACCAGAAACCAAAACAAACAAAACTCTACTAAAATTAACTTCATCAGAAGGAGGCTACCGGTACAATTAATTCTAATCTACCAATTTAAGTTTATTAAAAAAATAACACCAAAAAAAAAAAAAAACTTATAAAAAATTACAAATGATATAATTTATTATAAAAATATTGACAATAGAATCATCCCAAAAATGTCATATATTGTATATAATAATGTATGATAATCTCCAAAATTTGTCATATATTGTATAAAACATATTAAAGCTTAAAAAGATTTATCAGCCACCTGATTACATTTCTAAGGTTTAACACTAAAAAATGTTTAAATGGAAAAAACAAAGTCTTACTACCTGTAAAGAGAGCATTCACGTTTAGCGAGTATATCAAGTATGTTGAGCAAACAATAATTGTAACATATTATAAAAACCAATTATCCATTATACAATTAGCAGTGCGGGTACTCAATAACAATACTAATTGGAAAAAAAAAAACAATGTATACAGTATACATGGGCGCCCGCAGAAAACTTTCTAAAGGGGGGGGGGCAAAAAATCGATTAACTTTCCGGGGGGGGGGGGG